CAGTGTTCAGTCAGTATTGAGACCTTTTTATCCATGAAAAAAGGATAATATTTATGTATATGATGAAAGTATTGTTAGGCTTACGCTAATAATGCTTTTAAACTCCTTACCAGCCTTCAGGCAAGAACAAACACAATTATGATTACACCAAATAAATAGTAATCAGCAGAAATTAATTTGCCAAACATTTAAAGTGCATCTTGCTAAAGCATATCCACACCTTTCTCTGGCTAGGACTTCTTACAAAGCTGTCTGTCAAACATGGTTTTAGCCCTGGCTCTCACCTATTGTCTGACTAAACAGCCTCTCAAACCCCTTGTGTAATACGAATGCACTTCAGACCATCTGTTTACAGGCCTGCATTGATCTAAGTGGATGTTTACATTTATTTGTATAGCACTTTTACAGGTCTATTTGTGCTGATAATGCAGTAAGCTGGGCATTATATATGACACTCAGTTCATTTCTCTAAGCAGACAAGAGAATACCTAGTTAAAGGGCTGGTATCAATTACCGAAGTCCAATTTTTAAAACATAGTTTTAATTTCTTTCCTGTGTTTTGAAAATTTGAACTAAGAAATTATTTCTAATTATATCCAATCATTTCTTATGGAGTTCGTTTGCACTAAAGCAATGTAAGTAACTGCAAATGCATCCCTACAAAATGCAACAGGCTATAGGATGCTGGTCACGTAAGACAGATGGCAAATCCTATAAAAGCTATTAAAAAGCTACAGGCTACTGAAGTCACACTGAATTCAACACAAAAATTCTCAGTAATTAAAATGGGGCAATGATGGCATCCTTAGTACACCTGCTGTAGTGAAGTAGTTGGTTGAAAAATGTCTTTTGAGGTTAGCTTGAGACAACATAAGTCACGTTTCAGCTCTCGCTCTGGCACAGATTGTCTGGAGGACCTTGAACACGTCCGACAGGTACCTTCCCTCCAGCTGTGCTATGCTGGCAGCAGAGATGACTACTTCAGCTGCTCTTTGAGACTCACTGCTGGAGGACTACAGATGTGCTCCATGGCCAGGCCCCCACTTATTTCAGCTGATGCTAGTGATGATAGAAAAGATTTTCTATTTAAGCCAGACAGCTAATTCTGACCAGAGAGAGCTGGGAGCGCTCCTGTGAACATCACAGCCACAGGCACGGTGCGACAGGAAGCTCTAGCAGGAGCAGTAATGAGCAACTACTAATACTGTACCGTAATTTCTTCCTCAACACAGCTGTCTGCAGAATGCACATCTAAGTGTTGAGATACCACTCAAAGAACGGCCGCGGCAGCCGTGAACTCAGCACAAGCTGCAAAACCCATGTAAGTACAGAGTAACCACCCGTTCAGCCCAAGCAGAGCTCTATCACACTAAAGATAAACCGGTAGGAGGAACAAACCTTGGTAATTAAAAGCTATCTAATGCTACTGAAGTGCACTGATAACCTTTATTTCTCTGTGCTTTATTCACATCTGAGAGAAGTGGGATTAACCACCCCACCCTACCTCCCAAAGTGTTCTCTGCACAAATGAGTTAAAGATTGAAAGTTCATCAGGCAACACAGTTATGGCAACTACAGAGCTACCTTAAAATGTAAACACAACCTTGAACTTAAATCATAAACAGAACTTAAGCAGAAGCTTGAAGTTCTTTGCTGAATCAATATATCAACACCGTTATCTTTACATCTAGGAATACTGAGCCAGATTGTTTTCTTGCTGATGTTTGTATAAGCAACAAATACAAGTCAAGGGAGTTTTCTATTGATGTCAGACTGATTATATTTTTAGTTTTGTCAACAAGCTGCCGAAAGACCCCAGGCAAGTCCTGTAGTTTCTTTCTTTTTCATACAATAAGCAACAAGTAACCTCCCTCACAATGGGATTTCAACATGCAGTATCTTTGATAGGCTCCATACATCTCTGATGGAAGCATTACAAACCATGCGAGGCTCTTTAACAAACATCCAGACTATTTCATATGAAAATCTAGCTGCTGAGGTCAGCTTGCCAATTTGAAAGACTTATAAAGCTCTATGGTGGAAAAAGAATGGAAAATGAAGGACATGAGGTGAAAAGTCCCTAACAGTTTCCTCTTGGACAAAGCGGACACAGTCCAAAAATTCTTTATACTTTCTTTTCCTCTCTCCCAGAGGTGGTTTTCTATTGTGTATGTGTTGAATGGTAGGTTTGCTGGAGTTAAGCCAAAGAGAGAGGTAGATGGCTGCCTTTGTGGTCAGAGGAGGGAGGGAGGGAAAGATTTCCTATTGGAGAACAAAGCCTACTTATTGATAACAAAATCCACTAATGTGCTGACTATTAGGAAATGTTGGCCGATTTCTTTGCATATGGGGGGGATTGTGCAAAATACTTGAAATCTGGGGAAACTATTTGAACTCAGTAATGGTATCCCTTCTGGACATTTTCTCTCCCTGGTGCTCAGAACGAAGGACAACAATCTTTTTCTTCCTCCCTCTATCTCACCTTCCCCTTCAGCAAGTTAAAAAAAAAAAAAAAAAGAATAGGCTGAAGTAGGGGCTGGGTATTTGGAAGAAATTGTGAACTTCAGGTTGTTCTTGCAAGCTGACAAACTGGCCACCAGAAGAGAAAGATGCTGTTCCAAAGTACACTCACCATTAGTATGTCTGCTGTGATAGCCCAGTTTGAAAACAGAAGAGTTTCTCCGATAAAAATGCAAATCTGTTGCAACAAAACACACAAAAAAGAAAAGATTTATTCACTTGACATTCAAGGGAAAAATAACCTGTCACAAACTTTCCTTTGTTGCTTATTTGTCTCAAACCTACGCAAAGGATTCTTCTGTACACAATACACTCCTGATTACTTTTGTGGTTTATCCCGAATATTAGAAAACTATAGATTTTCATCAGAGCTCTAGTGGGTTGGCCTGCAACTTCATTAGTGTAAATTGTTTATGATCTACAGAGCAGCTAAATAAAAGGCTGACACATTTGGTAGCAGAACAACATGAGAAGCCTGCAAGAAGAGACAGCTGTGGGCTTCCACACTTAAACGATTCTGTTCCAAAAAAAACAGTTAGAAAAGGCAAGGCCACAACTCCCCAAAACACAGTCATTTTCATCACTAGGAATCAAGTTATGTGTTAAAGCTCTGTAGCAAACCAAATGAGGTTCTCCATGTGCAAGATCCCTTCCCTTCCCGCTAGCATATTGCTGTCCTTTTTGAGGGGGACATGGATCTAGGCACTATAACATCTCAGCCGTTACACTGGTAACATCTATGTACAGTCAAGACAAGACTTAAGTATGGGTTTTGCAACATCAGTGTCTTAAGGTGAAATATAGTTCTTGACTCTGTGGAGATGGTCAATGAGATACATTAAACGACCTGTGTATGTAGTGGGATGAGAGCTTCTTTTTGTGGTGGTGTGGTATAAACAGCCACCACATATCCTTTCCACCTCAGGCACTCCCATCCCATACTGCCTTCTTAGCTGTGCTGGTACAATGGAGCCAAGCAGGGATTCAGAGCAGGAAACTGAGATGGGACAAAGAATCTTTTGCTGGGGGAGGTAGGGGAAGAGGGGCTTCTTTTGCTGATTTTTAACCCAAATCAGTTCCATGGTGCAATTCACTAAACAGTTCTACAAACAGTTGTAGCAACTGAAGGACTGGAAATAATCAAGAGGAGAAACTAATTTAACCTGGCCTCATCATTAAATGTTCATCAAACTCAGTTCAATGGAGCAAGGGTGATGTGGCTTCAGGAGGAACATCGCCTCCATCAAAAAGCTTTTTACTCGTATTTCAATCAGGAACCTTTTCCTTTTATGTTGTATGTTAACAATTTAGTGAAGAAATTTAACAGAATGAAAAAACAAAGACAGAAAAGCTTCCACCCTCATGTCTCCCTCTTCCTTTGTGTATTATGAAGAGCAGAACACATAGACAAAATGCTCCTTAAATAACCAGATTTGTAAAAACCAGCTTCCCCGTTCCCCACCAGTAAGAAGGCAAGCAAAACTCCTTTAATCTCCCTCAAAGGTTGCCTTTTGCCCAGCTAACCCATTTCTTTTTGTGGCGTCTAGAGAGAAAACATTACTCCTGGAATCCCTCCTGGCAGTTAGAGTTAACAGCTATAGAGATTTGGATTCTGGTAATTGAAGACTCCCCTATTAATTGCCTTATGTTCAGTTTTTGTTAGGTTGAATAGGCTAATATTCATTAATGAAACAAAGCCGGCAAGAAATACACGTACACTTTGCTTTGAGGAAACACTCACAGATGGATATTGTTTTGTGGTGTTCTTGTGAGCTCTGACAGACTCTGACAGTCATGGCCACTGCCCCGGTCCCTGCCGCTTGCACAGGCACAGTTTGGGGTGTGAGAAGGACCTCCAAAATTGGTAGCTATGTGACCACTGCAATTGTCTTTCCCCCACATGGGTTAAGATTGCCTAAATCCCTCAGGCCATCATGTCACTGCCAGGAATAGTTTGCTTTATTTATAGCAAGGCTTATGCATTGACCTAGAGAAAGCTTCCTCTATTTGTTTCTAAAATTGTCTTTGTTTCCCACACATTCCCCTTCCCTGTCCCCTCTTTTCCCCTTCCCTGTCCCCTCTTTTTGTGACTGGATCTGCTTCCTCTGTGATGGTGTCTGAGCCAGTCATTTCAGCCCAGCTGGGCAGCTAGGAAATCTCCTCGTTCCACTTTCCCCCTGTCCACTGGTCTGCCTTGAACTTGCCTCTCACTAGAAACGACAACTGCCAAGCTAAGAAACACAGATCCAATGAATGAAAGTGTCGATGGGAGTTGAAGCCATGTGTGATGTAGCAAGGGCATACCAGAGCCCCAGGTGGGCTCTCAGGACCTGCTCTGAAATCTTTCCTACTACAACTTTGCATCTGCTGTTGTTGGGGTTCTGTGGCTGGATAGATTAAATTGAGCTTGAGAAAGATGTAATCACACTTCTGAACGCGGCATCAACATGCCCTGCCTGTTCATACAATATTGCAAACAGGCAACTGCTTGCCTTGAGATTATATAAGTTATATACACACACACACGAACTGTTACACGCAGCAAGTAAAACTTGCCCCTTCTGCAGGAATTTAGCACAAGTCCCATAAATAAAATCACTGAAACGCTACAAACTTCAGAGTGCACCAGTTTTGAATTGTTGAATGTGTATTTCACCCAACACATTTCCATGAAACACGTGCTTAACATGTGGATGACTGGTAAAAGGAAAAGGAGAGCAAGAAGAAGATCAAAAAGTAGGACAAAAGATACTGGTATTAAAAGAAGTCTGTCCTTCAGCTGCTAATGGGGATTTATAAAAATCAGTTCATCCACTGCATGAGGCATATGAGGATATGTGGCATTTCTGCTGGAGAGAGACACTAGGGAGGCTTATTGTAAATAGGGCAGCCTCCAGAACAGATGAATAGCTCCTAAAATGGTCACGGTTTTGACCTCTGATACGCTTTTAGAAGCCTCATTTTACACTGAGATTTCAGCTCTAGAGATATATCCTCTCCTGAATCCAGCTGTGTTGTATAATACCTCACCATCTCCATGTGGTGTCCAGTTGCTTATCTGTGATGAGCTGATAGAAGTTATATCCCCCTCAAGTCTTCTCTTTACGTGATCAGTTAGCAAATTCTGATTCACAAAAATGGTAAGTAGTTTCAGAATGGTCACACCAGCAGCTCTCACAGCAAGATCTAAGCAGGTTATAAACTCCTTCCATGGCTATTTGCAAAGTGCGTATCGGTCTACGTCATGATTGCCTGTATTTCTCTTTGAAATGGTGGGTAAGACTCCTACATGTACTCTTGAATTTGAAGCAAGTCTAACTCCATCTCAGTGTTGGGCAATATCAATGCCTCAGAAGTAGGTAAGTGACCAACACCATGCCAACAGAAAATCCCTGGAGTTGAGCCTGAGATGCTGTAAAAGTTCTATGGCAAGGTTTTACTCTGGGAGTTGTTGTTTCTGTGAGATCATAAAACGTCTTTGAGGAATTGAAATAGATGTTGAAATAGAGGTACAACAGGAACTTGGAACAGTGTCAAAAGGAAGGCAAAGCACAGCATCTCTCTCCAGTCATTTTGAGTTTTAAACTAGTCTAAAATCTGCTGTTGAAATGTCTGAGTAGTGTGATACAATGATGCCATACAGCTAATGGGCTTCAAGAGACAGGTTTGAAAACCAACATTTCAAAAAGTACGTATTTCAGAAAGAACGGCACCTAAAGATATGAAAATTGCTGTTGTAAGGAGTTGGACTACAACACACATACACACGCCGTAAGGAAAACAGAGTAAGAACTGATTGGACTACACAGCTAAGCAAGATATTAAAAGATAGAAATACAAGTGTCTGGGCAGCTAAATGATACAGAACACTGTTTTATTCCACCTTTCCAGCCACTTCTACCACTGCCAATAATTTACTGGATTAGTACTAAAAGATTGGATGTAAAAAAGAAGTCTGTCTATCTGCTCCAGGTAGGAGTGGCTGCTACAAAACTGGAATAGCAGCTGCCCTCAGGGACCAAAACCACCTGGCAAGACAGGACTGAGCAGGGGAGAAAAAGTACACACGTTCAGGGGAGGAAGAGAGCAGACAGTTGACAGCCTGTAAGGGACAAGGTGATCATGCCAAAGGATATGCAGGTCTTTGAAAAAAAAAAAACCCAAACAAAAACCAAAACACAAAAAGCTAAGAAATTAAAAAGCAAGGGCTCTGCTTATTCTTGCTGGAGTGCTGAACATTTCATTTATGCTGATGCCAGTATCAGTCGAAATTAAAACCTCTCAACTGTTAACTAGAGCAGGGAAGGGAGACGGTGATCTGCTGGCCACCACAGCTCAGTGTGAGAGAACACCATCTCATGAGAACACACCTAAATGCTTAAAAGTGATAATTAATAAGGCTCTGAGCCAATATGGGGCGCAAAACCAGTAACCCTTCAATTTTAGCATGGTGTGATCAATGATAGAAATCTAAGGACAGTCACAATACAGAAGGTCTGGAAATACCACCGTGTTGGGGAACAGACATTGCTCTTGCCTTTCACAGTCACACAGAACTCAAGAATGCTGTTTCAGGATGAGCGCCAGGACACAGCTGTGAAGGAAGCTATCAGAGATGAGAAAATCCACCCATAAATTTTATTGCATTCGTTCCAGAACAAGCTATTATCATGGATTTTGAGATAAGGAAGGTAACTTAGTCCATCATGCTGTCCTCCATATCTAGGTGTTCCAACTCCAGAGTCAGAGAAGAGTCTCTCCTTTTTTTTGGACCAATGAGACTTAAAACAAACAGCAATGAGAAAGTGTTACACCATGCAAACTTGCAAGACAGGTCTCCTAGGGAAATAAAAGTGAATTAAACACTCTGGAAGTCTGTAAGACTGCAATAGCATTGAAGGGCATGGAAAAAACAAGGGCTCAGTTTGAAATTTGCCTTGAAAAGACAATTCAACTGATACATAGCACCACCACAACAAGACCCCGTGTTATAAGACATTGGTAGCTCCAACATAGACCTGTTCTCTCAGTGGGGTTAGCACCTGTAACACTAACCAGCAACAGTAAGAGGCGTTGTGCCTTTGCTTTCTGTTTATATTAATTTATAGCAGATGGCTAGGCCACAGATCATCTAAGTCCAAGTGATATCCAAACATTAATGATCTAAGCTGTCCTGACCCTTTTTAAGTTAAGAATCCTTGTTTTTGCAGAGGCAAAACGAAGTTAAATGGCTGGCCAACTGTCATGTGTAGAATCTATAGAGTTCAGATCTCCAACTCCCCAGCTGGCACTTGAACTAGACTCTTATCTGCTTTCTATGCATCAAGTTTCCAGCAGCAGAGTAAGCATATTTAAGGCTACAGAGAGGCAGTGTGACCTGCAACAAACATATGCATCAGCAAATAGGCTGATATTCCTCATACCCCCTCCACATGCAGGTATAACTTCCTTTGCAAATCATTGACACTCTATTAGATTTACTGCTCATACATAATAAAAATAAATTGTTTCTAAGTTTGGTTAAATAATACCATCTATATTTACATATTTACAGAACGCAGAATAGTCACATGGCTATTAAAAAAACAACTAAGGAAAAAAGATTAAAATGAGACCAATAGCCACCTTTTGATGCAAAATTTTTGAAAACCGTATCTCCAGCTTCGAAAGAAACTTTCTGCATAAAGAGACTAAACACCACAAATGAACATGTCTGTCATAAAGTCTGAGAAAGGAAAAAAAATCACAGGTCTGGCTGCACAGCAAGGTGGCGGGGAAGGGCAGGCGGAGAGATGTGACAGATCTCTTCACTTGGAGACAGCTGATGATAAAAGGAAGGTTAATGCTTGGTCAACCAGTAACACCCTCTTACAGGTTGTCTGAGGTGATCATTTTTCTGCTAATCAGTGAATCAAAGGTTAGTTCTAGACCATGCCACAAACCAGAGGAACAAATCTCTTTCTGACACTTTCTAAGTAGTCAGAGTAGGCATTCTTGGTTCTGTCTTAATATTTTTAAACTTCTGCTCTTTCTTCTTGTGTTTCCCCATAATGATTGGAAGCTATCTAAATACTCAGAAAATAACCACGGCTTATTAACCACCATAACACTAGGCTAGTGCTAGAAATACAGAGAAACAAGGAACCACAGTAGATCGGTTGTAGACCGTAAATGAATTCTCCTTGCTGGGTGGAGCATGCATGGCAATGTGGAAGCTAAAGGTGGGCTTTCAGAAATTATCCCACTACTCCAACTATCTCATGCTTTCTCTTCAAAAACTTCTCCCAGGTCCCAGGCTTCTCTCTATTACATTGAAAGGGAACCTGGAACCTGTTCAGTGTACTGGATTTCTGCTCTCTACTGAAAGCAAGATTCTAGCCTGAGGCTGGATTATTATACTTGAATTTTTCCTTTCCCTTCAGTCTGTTTGTCTAGATCTATCTTATGTCTTTTTATATACTTTAATTACAAACATTCTGGGAGGAGACATATTTTAATCTGCATCTGTGCAGTACCAAGTATTGTGGGTTCCTGGGCTATGACTAGGACTTCCAGGTGCTACGGTAGTACAGATAACAACAAATTGGAATTGCATGGTAATTACTATTGGTCTGCAGCAAGCTACCTAGTTATGGAAATTAATGGTACTTATAGGTAGCCAAAAGCATGCCCACAGACAAATTATACTGTAGTTATAATTTGGTACCACTGCAGCTACAATACTCTTATTGTGTAAGGAAAGAGGCCAACTTTCCTGTACCAAAACATTAGGCAAGAGTAATAGAGGTAGAGTTATAGATAAAACAACTCAAAGGGGCAGGAAACGTGCGCTAAATCCACAGCTCTAAATTCTGATGACAGTTAGCGAGGGGATACGTAGCTGAGATATCGTTTTTCCCTCCAGGCACATCTAGATAGTGCCAAAAATGCCAAAGGGCAAAAATGAAGGACACTCAGAAGGGGAAAAGCAAGACCAGTATCTTAGGCTTCCTGCAGGGGACAATGCATGCAGTCTTCTAAGGAGTTTGGTAGAGAGAGTGACACTGGCATATGCAAAGGATTATACTTACGTAGGCTCCCACGATGCTGCTCTTGGCAGCAACGAAGATCAGACAGATGAAGATGGCTGATCCTAGCATGCCAACAGCACAGACAAGAGGATCAGCTCGCTGGGTTTTTAACCGGCACCATTTGGTTGCCCCGGCTCCTGTGATTACACCCAGGAAACCAGTGAAGCATGTGATTGCTCCGAAGATCAAGCTATTAAAAAAAAAAAAAGAAAAGAAAAAAGACTTTTTTTTTTTTTTTTAGTTTTTTGTTGTTTTGTTGTTTTTTTGTTTTTTGTTTGTTTTTTTTTTGTTTGTTTTTTTTTTTTAGTTTTTTGTTTTTTGTTTTTTTAGTTTTTCCCCCAAAATGGGCATGGTCTTTCCACAAATTATTAGGGTAAACTGACTAATGGAAATCTGCACACTGGCTCTGCAAGTTTAAAATAAAACAAATAAGCTCCCTGCTGAGTGCTTGTGATTTTAGCACTCTTCCCCTGAAATGAAGAAAAACACAGCAGATGAAATTCAGCCTTATACATAGGCATTGATCAACACACAAAGAGATGCAAAGGGCTCATACTGCTTCTTTAGGTGGAACAGAGCTTCCTATCAAGTGCACTGCACAGGTAGTTATGTATGCCCCAAATGAAATAACAACCTGCACATTGATCATGCAAAGGGGAGATCATGGACAGAGCAGGCACTGGGAAGCTTAAGGGAAAGGAAACCTAATAAGACTCTAAATATCAGTGACTTTCAACATACTTTGACTTTCTAACTCCTTTCAGACTACTTCAAAACAGCCTGATTAGATTATTTTGCCGTTATGTTACACATTTCAAATGTGTTAATTTAAATTTGAAGAGCCAGGAGCTGTCAAGGATTCCCTGTATTGTATGTACAGGACTTGGATTACAGAATGTTTGGTGAATACATTACAGTAGCTCCAGGGCAGCTCAAAATATAGGTGTCATCAAGGAGTGGAAAACTTCTCTTTGTAAATAGCAGATGGACAGTCTGACTGGAGCTGTATTTTCTGCTCACTGCATTTTTGCAGAATAGACTGAGACTGCCCGCTGGGTGCTCTAGTTGATGGTACTCCAAACCACTAAGTAGTTTACTTGAGATGGCATTGTGTCAGCTAGAGCAAGAAGGTTTTCCTAATACTATTTTTCCCTCACAAGCTAAAAAGCAAAAGGGCTGAAAAAAGGCAGTTTTTCATATCTTTTATTCACCTGGAGAAATGTTTTTTTTTTTTAGCATTTTATGTTTTGTGCCATCATGGTAAAGCACAAAACAATGAATTACTTTTCATAGCTTATGTGCTGCAAGTGATATTATACGACTGGGACTGAAAAACCAAACCACTGTATAATATCAAGTGATCCAGACCAAAGTGTCCCAGATCTCTGCACCATTTTTCAGCAAAACTCAGCACACTGTAGTATACAGAGCAATGGAACACAGTGAAGTCCTCCCTCACACAGAAATAAGTCTTCAGGGTCAGTCCCTACAGCCTTTAGGGGAACCCTGAATTATAGTCACCACCGTGGCTACCCAATCTGCCAGCTGATTCTGCTGCTATCACAGAAAACAGAGTGGGTCTTAAGAAACCAAATTCTCTCTCAGCTCTCCAAGCGTCTTCTAAGGCAAAGACAGCAGTCTCTTTTCTACTGCTGCACTATAGCCTGGGAACCAAGACAGAGCTGAGGTCATTGCTTCTCCCTTGGTTTGACTTCATGCAATGAAGAAAAGAAGAGAAATAAAACCTAGTTTACAATTGCGGCACTTCCTATCATTGTTGCAAAGACCTAGAGGAAATTACAGACATTCTAGTAACTTGACTCCGTGGGACTTGCCTGTTTCCTCTGGTAAATAAGCGTACCCCCCCGCCCTTTCCCCCCTCTTTAAAGCAGTGGAGTATGAATCTCACCTATCTTTGGTGCCACAGGGCTGCGAGCTACAGGTCTCTGCTGTCTTCTGCACAACCTGTGCTCTGTGAAGGTAGAGAGGGATCCACATGCCAAGCGCCCCTGTGGCAAAGGAGACAGCTGAGGTGGCCAACGATGAGAACACATAGCTGCGGCTGTGGAGATGCAAGAGACAAAACCAAGAAAAGGTTTAGGGGGGAAAGTGGAAGAACAGGAGCATCAGGATAGGAGCCAGTGCTTCAGTGACAAAACAGCGTTCCCCCATACTACCCACCTCCCTTTGCCAAGGAGCAGAGACAATACGAGGTACAAACCAACGGAGAATAAAGGGCATGGAATATTTCTTCGTATGTGTTGCTCCATTGATAATAGTGTACTCAACTCTTCAGAGGCGCTTCAGAGAGACCATTTTTCACGGGACCGTTTCAGGAGACAGTCAGTACTTAGTCACTAAGACATGATGTGTGAACTACAGGGCTTTCACTATAATATCACCTGTTTACCTGTAGTACCAGGTTCACTTCTCTCTCCCCATCCATGTCACCATGATTACTACTTGGATAAACTAACAAAATAAGTAATATAGAAATATTGGTAAGTTAACCATCATCACTTTTCATAGTCCTTTGATACTGGATGACAATACCAGGAAGGCATACTAGCCAGCAGTTCTAAAAATGAAGGACACTACAAGTTTCCCATCAGAATTCCTATGTAACACTGAATTCACGAATGTAAGTATTTACACATTCACAAGCTTTCTGGAAGCAAGTGCAGCTGCTTAAACACTTGTGAGCATTATGCACATATACAAGCACCCAAACACATTTTGCGCTTGTGCATTCAGTCACATGTGGTTGTATAAACATATATATCTAAACTTGCCATGTAGTGCAAATTTTTGTGTATTTTCTCCTCTGAAATTGCTCTGGCATTTAACTCCCTTCTTCCCCTCAGAGTAGCTCTTTCCAGGAAGAAAAAAGATCTAAGCGTCTGAACAAGTGGCACAACAATTAATAAAGGAACACGGCAATTTCTACACTTCAAAAGCCTTAATTTGTCTAAGTATGACCCAAACAAAGCAGACTCTCTCGTAATATGAATTTTGGAAAGGTTAGAGCAAAAGCTGGAATCCTTCACTGTCATTGCAGTTGATACCTTGTGGAAATGTAACTGTGATTTTCTTTCCTAGGTCCACAGACTAAGCTTCCTGCAACACCTTGCACGTTGTCACTTGCCAGTCTCACAGCGCTAAGAAGTACAAGCCATTGGAGGTTCCAATTAAGCATCAGAGGCAAAGCATGCTTTTTACTAGAGTGCTCTTACTTTCTAATCAGTGCTTTCATGTCTCTTAGCCATGAGGTCCGAGCCTTCAGCTGTCCCCCAAGTTGTTCAACATTTCCTCTTTTAGCAGCAGGTACAAATATCAAGATGAGTGTCCCTGTTATCATTCCCAGGAGTGGAGATACCTGCAAGAAAGGAACAGGGAATTAGCACAGGAGTCAGCAGGGTTTGCTTTGACTAGTCAGGAAGAAGCAGATTACATTAGTTTCATTTCAGCAATTCAATTCTTTCCAGCTACTCAGAATCTGAGCACACTGAGGCATCTGCTCCTTTCCTTCCTCCCTGTCATTCCCTGGACTTTGTTATCTCACTCTGGAAGCATGCAGCTTTGGGAATGCTCTGATTAAGACAGTCCATTTCTTTGTATTATTAAAGTACCAAGATTCATCTGAATATGGTTCTTCAGGGATGGTTAACTCTTTGGAAACCTACTCCCAACTGGGCTAACAGACCAACTAGTTTCGAGGACAGCATAGAAGCTTTTTAAAGCCAATGAGGCCAGGTGAAAGATTTCTGGATGAAGGGAGCATGCTGGTTTTGAAAATTGTTGCTTGACATGCATCCCCCTTCCAGCTAACCCACAATGGCTTCCCATTTTCAGGAAGCTTCCTCAGAGTACCTCAATGTACAGCAGACCAAGAAACATTGAAAATTCAGGCTGGAAGATAGGAAAATGACAGTAAAGGTTAAGTTTCCTAGTTTTCAATCCTCTCTCCCAATCACTAGGCAAAAATACAAAGATCCCACAGTTTTTTGCAAGCTATAAACTTGATTATTGTTTTGACAGTGAAATTCCATCATTGTCAGAATGCAAAATAGCTCCATTAGGAAAACAGGAACACAGATTTTCACCGAACCATCATCTCTTCTATACATGTAATTTAAAAAATAAATTCTTGTTTAAAAAAAAAAAAAGCTTCCAATAATAACCTGAGAATGGCCTTTACACCTGGAGCAGTGTTTCACATCCAAAGATGACAAACCCAGAATTCATCTAGGTAAGGGAAGGCAAAAATTTTTCAGATCTGCAGACTCAGGAAAATCCCTCCTCCAGGGATAAATGAAGCCTGATACAGTATCCTTATTACAGCTGAACACAAGACACAGCACTGGTAAAAAAAAAAGGAAATGCTGGGATTTTCTAGGGCCATATAATTTAAAGTCTCTTTGATTTTTATCTAAAGGCTTAATCCCCCAATAGGACAATATCCATTGATACTCAGTAATGCTCCAATGAAACGCTGACATTACTGCTAGAACCAGAGACAAAGCTGCCACTTGCCAATGTGCCCTTCTGTCTTCTTCAGCCCACTGAAGTACAGATTATTCCTGACCTCCCACAGATTTGGAGATCACAGGAGATCACAGAGGGAAGCACCACCTAGGGGAATCTTTCAGATCTTGCAGAAGCACAGTAATTGCCACAGGGACAGAGGCTGCTTTACACTGATGTCTGGAAGCTTTCACCATGTGCTGGTTGACTATGAAAACAAAGCAATGCCGTCCAAAGCAACCATCATAGACGTGTGCAGCTTGTGAGATTCCCCACAGTTTTGCACAGTCAGGGAATCATGCATCAGTGTTGTCATTTATAGTGGAATTCATGACCCCATAAGGGGTACAGCCTTGCAGACAGCCTGGATTTGTCAGGATAACTATGGAGACTTCATCTGAAAAGAAAGATGCTAGTGAAGATTTCTTTGCACAAATTAATCATTTGGGTTTCACAGATAGAAACAGCACTCCAATGTATCAACCTCATTAAAGCCCACACACCAGGAGGAAGGGATCTGGGGTTTCTTATTCCTTGTGCTGGCCTCAAAAGTTAATTTTACCCTTAAAGCATTTCTGCTATTGAATGAGGTAGCCATCCTCTTGATGTGAAGCTGTAGGCTATTAAACTTTTCATTTCAGCTTCACAGCTGGAAACGACTCTCCCCTCTCCTAGCTGCAGATGAACTGTTCACGGTGATTTTCCTGGCTTTGCTTACCCATGCTGGACAGGGAGGGAATGGCCTGTGTCACAGAAGGGCACATTTGCTTGAGATGGGAACCCATGTATTTCATTGCCTGCTGTTATAAATGGTGCTGGCCTAAGCTTCATGAGATTCATTGTCTTCATGAAGTGCCAGAGCCAGAGAATGCACCTCACGGGGGCTCATGCCACCCAGACTGCCAAAGGTCAGAAAACAGTTCTGCTGGGCCACTTCCTCTCAGCTCTTCCAAGACATCTTTGTGTGCAGGATCTGTTTGTGTGTATGTGATTGGAGTGTATTATCTTTTCAACACATTTATCAAGGTCCCAAGAGGTTAAAATAGAAGGAAACCGACTGTCTCAGGGCAGAAAAACAAGCGGAAACTGGAACAAAGTGTTTTTTCCTCAAAGCAGGAAGCCATTCTCAGAGTTTCTTGACAGCAGGGGACTGAAAGACTGTTGAGTTGATTTAAGGCCAATGCCTCACCTTCCCATCCCCATCAAGAAATCATGGTTGACTGATAATAAAGTGATTGGAAAGTTCTTGCTCCCAGGTACGGAAAAAAAACAAGTACAATGAGCCAGAACCACATACCTTTCCCATTTGCTTAGAGAATGCATCTGCTATGTGCTTAATATCCATAGATGTAATTTCCAATCTTTTACCTTCTATATATAATTACAGGTTGACGAATTGTGCAATAGAACTCTTCTGAACACTGATCAACCGATACAACTGTTACTTAGATGTTATTAAGAGTGGCTTACCCGCAACGCCCAGTGCCAGTCTCCAGCGACTTGCTTCACACTTGACCCGGTGATGTATCCCAAGCCACTGCAAGAAACACAAAGATGAGAGTAAGTCAGAGATTTAACAGAGTACCACAAACGCAGCTGTTCTTAAATGAAGATAAAAAGAGGCACACAGTCATGTCCCCTAGGTGCTCTTCTCCTGCAGGAAGAAACACAGGGGATGAAGCGGATGGTGGCTAATATGCAACTCTTCCCAGCACTGCTGGTCTAAAAATGCTCAAAATCTGATGGGAATTTGGACACTGACCTCAAGTTTATAGCTGACCTTTCAATCTACAGTGGATGGAAACAAAGCCTCAAAAAGAATTTATTTCCCAATTTAATTTCTACATCAGGCCTTTCTGTGCACCAATATGAATACTTAACAATTTTACGTTCAAGCTCTCAGTTAAGAAATGCCCTTTAAGGACCGTATTCCACCATTACTTTTTTTTCTCGACATTTAATAGTACTTGGTTCTAATTACCCATGAAGAGACCATTTTCCCTAAGCTTGTAAGAAAAACCAAGAAGAATATGCAAGACAGTCTGACGGGAGAACATCAGACCTGAAACTTCGAAATCCACTCGGAAGACAAAAGAACAACAGGACCTTCAGCCACATGCTGAGAATTACACTGTGGTAACAAAAAGTAGCTCACAAGAAACTAGATAATGGTGAATGTAGCCACGCTTCTCTCAAGTGAACTGAACAGAAGTGAATATCCTTCTTTCAAAACCTCTGCATTTGTTGCTGAGATTGCCTTGCCTAAAAGTTGCCAGGACTGCGGTGGGGCAGCTGTCAGCCATCACATGCCTTTGTTGAACAGTCTGATAAGCTTTGGAGGTTGCCATCTATAATCACCTCAAAACTGGGCTTTTTACACAAACAAGTCCCCAAATCAAACCACAGATCCACACCTCTGTTGGATATTGAGATAATTAAGTCCCAGAATCAGGCTCAGCAGGATGAATATTTGTCATTTCCTGCTATCCATAGTTCACTGAATTCTTTATGCAAATACGTGGCATCCTTGGCCCTCTTGGGAAAATATTCTTTTCACCAGTTAAGGACTTGGCTATCTCTTTTTCCTCAAGAGCAAATCTGTGAGTTTGATCTCAGAGATGAGTGCTTTAAGTTGTAAAATGCTCCACCCTAAACCAGAAGTTCTTCCCCGAGTTCAGGTGGATTAAACTGCTGCCCATGTTTATCCTGCTGGTAATGAACCTATGATGCCACTTTTGCACAGGATGCTGTCCAACTCTGGGAATCGGTATGCAAACTATGCGAATCCACCCTGCCTACAACCTTCACAATAGAGGGTCCGCCGTTATTTAAAAAAAAAAATCACAGATTCCCTCCTGTCCCAGCAATCAGATACTGCACTGGGCTGATAAGGGGACTGCACCGAAAGAAAGTGCCAGAGGAAATATCTACTCCAAATCAGATTCTGTCTGTTGCTTTCATCAAGCATCTACAGGCTTGGCTGTTCTCTGCCATTCTGTGTTAAGACTGAGTGTTAACGATCATTACAGTTTCTCTCTTCAGCCTTGCTGTCTACACTAGACTTCACTATTTTTACTAATTGCTGTTTCAGCGGCAACAGCACTAAAATGGACTGGCCACTGCTATTGCAACTACCAAGTCATCTAAGATTGGTTTAGTAGCATTTTCCAAACTTAGTCAGATTGGCCAAATTCAAGGTTGGGCAGAATTTGAATCTAATCTAAAAGTGTATTTTTAAAAGCCAAAATTTCAAATTGTGTATGTAATATAGCATACTCCTCTTGAAACCTCCAATATGTAGACTGTCACATAGAAGCAGGTACCCATTTGCTCACTTTTGAAAACTCAGCCCAGTATCTTAAGAGATCTTGATTTCACAGTAACCTGAAAGGCACTGCCTAAAAAAGGCCTAGATCTCACACAAATCAAAGCAACAAGTCAGAGAACCAATATAACATTATTCAAAATGATAGTTTAATTTAATAATGCTAAAAAAAGTCAGCTAAAATATTTTGATTCCATTTCCACCCCACTGCTGTAAAAAAAATAAAAATCCTTCCCACGAATTCCCAAAAGTCACACTTGAACCAGTAACAGTGCTAGAAAAAGAATCCAATTCCTGCAACTAATTAGTCACTGCTCACAATATTTTCCTGCCTAAAACATTCCAACCAAAGACACAAGAACTATCATCATTAGCAACTTCAGATCTGTGTGAGCTTACTTTGAGAGAAAAGCTAAAACCACATGAAAGAAGCGTCATGTCGCTTACCTGCCAAGAGGAATTGCAAAGTAGAAAACAGACAGCATAAGGGTCCTCGTGTTTTTGGTGAAAAGGTCTCCTATGATGGTTGGTGCAATAGTGGAGTAACTTGCTTCACCGATGCCAACCAAACCTCGTGAGAGCACCAGCAGCCAGAAATACTGAGAAAAGAAATAAAACACCTTAGCAGGTCCCCCCTTGTCTTTTTGAATTCAGGATGGACAACAGTGAAAGGTGCGCAAACAGGGAAACAGGAACACATGTGACTGGAGAGTGACCTTGTACACATTTATTTTTTAAAACCTCAGGCTCTTTTCATCTGCCTCTTGCTGTCGAGGAAAGGGTATTTTTTGTGAAGATTGAAAGGTATGAAAGAGAAGTAATAATAATACATGTTAACCCAGTGACACCCAAGAAGATATTTCTAATACAGGCAGAAGACATTCAGTTTATTCTTGGGATGCAGCTCACCCTTGCTAAGTCCAAGTGCCAGCAAACTGCATTGACAGAGGGAGGTGTGGGGAGGCGGGCGCGTGTAACGAATCCTGCTCTCAGATCCAGAAAAAGCAATACCCGCCAAGCACAGCGCCAACCTCCCCAGCGTGCCAAGGGACAAGTTAAGACTGGTGAAATCCTAAAGGTTCTTCAAGGCTGTGAAAGAGTTGAACCTCCAATCCCCCAAATTCTCCATTTTCTCCTTGATTAGAAGCTACTTAATAAAGGAAGTTTTTCAACGGTGCTAAGCACCTATCTCACTCCACTTGCCTTGGAAAAAAGCATCAACCTCCCCTTCACAGCAGGAAGGCAGAGTAAGTCAACACTGAACACTTCTGAAAAACCTCAGGGTACAACCTGAGCTGAGATGGACACAGCTACAAAGAGATAAGCCTTGAGCTGTACTGTGAAGCACAGGCGCATCAGTGTGCTCAGTAGGTAGTACCACCAGCTGAAGGATCCAGTCGTACAAGGCAACAGCACAGCCTGCAAAGGCATTAAGCTGCCCAGAGTAAAGGGCGATCCGACCGGATCAGGAAAGGGACTCCACATTCAGCACAACACAATCTAAAATGGACAAAAAGGAATTGTTCATCTAACAGAATTTTCTTCATGGCCCATTTCCCTGTTCCAGCCAACACTTTCATAAACTGCAAGGACCTGATTTTCAAGCTGACCTCTTTCAGCACACTTGCAGTTTTCTGGGTGCTGCTGTGTGAAGGCATAAGGCACAAAACTTCGATGCCTAAATACCTGATACATGAGCACAATCAAGTTCTCAGACATGTAAGCAGCTTGAGCTACACCCAGAAGTAATTGCAGGTGCAGAAATTAAACAATTGCAGAAAACTGTGAGCACAAGGAAATTATTTCTACATAGGTACCCTCTGCAAATCCTCAATTTACTGTTACTATTCTACAGAACATTTGTGAGAAAACCAGCAGAGGTTACGACATGTCCTTAAACACAAAGTGCTTTGAGAACAATTAGCGATTACTGATTCCCCTTCTACAGATGAGGAAATGCTGAGTTACAGGGAAGTGATGGACTTTGTGCCCTACAGCAAAGCTAAGCCAGAGTACAGGGCTCTCATTCACAAATATGGAAAATGCCATGCAGACATCAAGACACGTGCCCCAGTCATAAATATATCCATCAGCAGCCAAAAATCCACTACTGACACATTTTCATTGTTTTCCTCACTGTAATCCTTTGGTTGAAAAGAATTTCTTGAGGATTCCTGTAGTCACACAAAATAAATACTTTTGTGCACTCTTCACTTCCTCTTATTTTGACGTAAATTCTGCATCAATACCTATTTTCTAAGTTCCTTGTTTGCTGGCAGGGCGTTAGCAGTGCTGCTATCATTCGTATATCTCCCATTAGCTGCACATACGTAACAGACACAGGTGGGTGTATGCAGAAAGGGCAATACTGTGACTCAAGCTTTTTAATTTATGCAATTACCCAATGCTAAACCACTCCACTGCAGAAATATGCTGACAATGATTGGTGCACAGGTAACCAATGTATTTGGAATGAGCAACAGTATTTATAACATGCTGAATGACTTAGTCACGCAGAATTAGAAAGCGAGGGAACTGGAGGCTGATTTTGGTTTCTTAAGAGGTTCAGATCTGGATCACATAGAGGGTGACAGGGAAAATAGCCATCTGCCAGACCTGGAATGAGTATGTAGACAGTACTAGTTACACCTGTAGAATGACAAATTTGCAAATGTACTGGATGTTCCTAAAATTTGAAATACCTACATAAAAATGACGCAAGTTTGAGCTCACCAGCCAGTATCATTTCCAGTGAATACACTGGACAGGAATTTTTTCCAAATAATGCTATTACAGATTCCTCTGATAATCCCTGCATAAAGCAGGAAAACTGTACAAAAATTTCCTGTTGTGGTGAAGAGTGAGATATTGAGGTTCCATCAATACCACTGAATCAGAGACCAAATACAATGAAATCATCTGCAACAAGTAACATGTTTATTCTTCTCCCCCAGTTCCTCCTTGAAACCTCCTCCTGAGCTTATCCCATGCTTATACACTCCAAATAGCTGTTTAATATTCAAACTATGTTCTCTGAAGCAGCAGTATCCAAATTTAAGTCATGAGATGCTGAATTCAGTTGGCAATAAAAGCAGTCTTATAAAAGCATAATCTACATAAAGACATGAATGGTATTGCCCTTCTGAGGTGATATATTCGAGACTACAGACAATGCAGCTATTTAGGTGTAACGACTAGGCAAAATATACATCAGACTAAAACAATATTAGGGAATTATTTGTAATCAGGTCTATGCTGTGCCTGGTTTTAGAGCTCTATATCTAGGATTAAAGAGCTAATGCCTCTTCTTATCTTGCTGAAAGATTTCTTCTGGATCTTTGGCTGGCACACATCCTATTGGAACCTCTACAACAAAATTATGCAGTAATTTGTCACATTAAGCTAAAACCCCCAATCTTCTAATCAGTCAGTCAAAATTAAGTTTTTATCATCTCTGAAGAGGGATAGCTGGGTAGCTCCCCAAGACAAAATGTTGTCCTTTCAGAGAGAGGCCTAATCATTTCATTTTTCATATAGGAAGAAAAAAACCAAACAAAACAACTCCAAAATTCTTACACTGCTACTCATTTGGACCACAGACATACCATGAACCACTTAGAAACCGGTCCCAAAACCACTGTGTGTGCAACATAGACAACTGCTATTTTTTTGTGTGTGTATTTATATACACATACACCCATAAGCACATTTCTCTGTGAGTGTATGAGAGCACGACAACCAACATAAACAAATGGGAAAGTCAGCTATTACCCAGACAGTGGAAGCACCGTTCTCCTCCACAGCCATAGCAGGACACTTCTACCACCTCCTCTGCACCAGATTTTCCCCCAAGTGCTTTTTCCTCTCTCCCCTACCCCAGGATTCTCAGCAGTTTAGTAAGACAAAAAGGGCTGACACCAGTCAAATTCTTCTCTCAATTATCTGTGCTTAAAAGCAGTATAGGCAGCTAAGACTTGTAACTGAATTTCACTGTTCCCCAAGCAGAAACAGATATATGTTCAAGCAGTTTATTCCTTTCCACATTACTTTGGAGATCTTCTGTAATTTGTTCATCTGTGCAAATAGATCTCACTCTGACAGGAAAATTGAAAACACATCAGACAGCCTTCAGCACCTGAGCTTTTCCATAGGTTAAGCCCAGCAATCTCAATACTTCCCTGTCTTCACTGGGTCAGTGCCTGCAACAAAGTTTTCTGAAACAAAGAGCTATTATAGCAAACAATTTATTTATGTCTTTAATTTTGGTTAGAAGCCATGTCAGCGATGTCTGCACCTCCATGAGAGCTGCTCACATCTCCTGGTTTGTAGAGAGGCAAAGGTTTTCTTCGAATGACTGTATGGCAGAAATCCCCCTCCCTGCCTGTGCTTCAGCCTAAAGCGCTACAGAGAGTATCGCGGTCCCAGCCACGCTGCAGCAGGGCTCCTGGGCACCAGCTTGGATGTGGATGGCTGGAGAGGTGTTATCATACAACGTGACTGCTATGAGCTCTGGGGGTAGTTTGCGATGCAAAGGTGCTCCGAGTCCCCTTCTCCAACTTGTATGTGCCACAAAACGGCTGATGAGCCCACAAGCCAGGGAAGATTCCAATATACAATAAACCATCAGCATATGGAAAGAATGGTGGCTGCCAGAGACCCAGAACTGCCGCAGTGTTCCAGGGAATTTCCCTTCAAGAGATGCCATCACCAGAAACTAGCGCACAGAGAAAGCACTCATATGTGCGTATGTGAGGTAGGTAAGTCAATGGACCTGCTCTCCTCCCATCTCTTAACGCTACGGGAGGAAAAATATGCCTTAGTTCTAAAGCTGAAGACTTCACTATTTTGTAATTTGAAGACTAACAAAGCCAAACAAAAAAGAAACCAAATCCCCCAAAACAGATACGAATTTTGGAAGGGATACAAATCCTTATGCCTCAGGCAATGCACCAATCACTAATAGGAATGCAAAACCTACTAATTTCTAAATTTCTTAAACTATCAGTGAAGCACAGGCAACAGCAGCGACAGATCATGGGGTCAGATGGCCCTGGTCTGATTGCTGTTGCCAATGACACCATCCTACTAGAAGCTATAGGCATGACACAAACTTTCCAGAATTTTCATCTGAAAAAAGCTTTAAACAGTTGAGTTAAATATTTATAATATGCCAGATGATAGTTCATGTACTTTCTCTGCAAAGTATGACATAGTTTATATTCACATTCTCATATTGACTTTCCTCTCAATCTCATGCACACATAAATGTTTGATGGCCTAGGACACATGACTAGCTTTAATCATGTTTGGACAAACCTCTTAATTATACATTTATCCCAGTTGCATAGGCCATTGAGAGAGTAATACATGTTTTAATAGGTCTAATTACAGCTTTAACTTCTTTTTCCTTTTTTAATTAGTTAACAAAAGGAACTAAGCCACAGTTCTCTCAAAGATTAGCTGTCAGTGATAAACCTATAATCTGCCAAATATGTGTACAACTCTGAGCCACCAGATTTACTGTCTAAAGAATCATATGATCCTTAAGCTTCAGTTATTAAGTATTTGCATTTGAATGGAATAGCTTGTAAGGGTCTCA